TACGTGTATCACGTTCCAAACCAAGTCAATGCGCGAGATGTTCGACCGTTTTCCGGAGGTTCTGCTCATGGATGCAACACACGGGACCAATGTGTCCAAGTATAAGGTCTTCTCGTTTATGGCGCATGATGTCTTTGGTAAAGGTCAGTTTGTGCAACATTGTGCGCTACAAAATGAAAGAGCTCCCACACTCTTGACGGCGATTGAATCATTCAAGGCGGCTAATCCAGCCTGGACCTAAATCCAATGCGTGATTATTGATAAGGATTTCACTGAGCTAGCAGTGTTGAAGACAGCTCTACCGGAGGCCAGAGTACTTCTCTGTCAATTTTACGTAATCAAGTACCTGTCGGAGGAAGTTGCATCGTCAGACTATGGCTTCAGTAATTGGCAGAAGAAGCAAATTCGTAGTATCGTGAGCCTACTGGTGTACGCGAAGACAGAGCAAGAGTACATGAAACATCTCAGCTACATGCACCAGCTCACGCGCATTGGTTCGACTGCGGCCAAGGGTATTACAGCTTCTTTTGCCGAGCAAATGCAGTGGGAGCCGTTGACAAGAAGATGCTCCAATGTCTCCGATACAGGTATCTGTGTATGTGCCTTTAAATACATCACTTTTTACATTACACTACACCTTACCAATATATACACTATCACAGTACGACTCACCAATTTAAACACCATACTTAGACACTTTTTTTTGCTAAGTGTTTCAGTGCCAATGCAAGACACCACACGTGATTTTTTCTTAAAGTATCAGTTGAGGTTTTTTCTTGGGCAAAAAGGAAGCCGGCTATACGTATAAATCCAGCCACTCATCAAGTGATGACGCGGCACTGACTCTCGTCTAGCCGGGCTCAGTCGGTATCAGCTGGGCTCAACCGGTCACATTAGCCTCGTCACATTTCACTCAGCGGGGCACAGCAACACGTGCCATAAAATAAATCGCGGTTGCGATTTATTACATGTACCATACCGGTACTGTAATAGCTTACTTGAAGTACTGTACTAATAGGTTACTGTACCTACTTTGACGTCCTAGAAATGTCTTATTTGTCCTAAGTACGTCCTAAAAGTGTCCTAAAATGTCCTATTTGTCACAATAAATGATTATTTTCTCGCAGAGGGATTCGAATTTATCGACGTAAGCTACGGATAAATTGTGACGGTCAAACCTCTTTAAAAAAAACAGGTTTGACAGTCACAATTTATCCGTTAAAAGAGTTTACTCCTTTAACACGAATTCCGTGCTGGAATTTTGTATCTTCTTTTTGAAACTGCCTCCTGGATCGACCAATAACTTATTGCTTATTGGCAATAAGACCCTATTTAACCAGAAATCCATGGACCGAAGATCGGAAAAACACTTTACAAACACTTTTAACTAATACTACTAGCCACAGCACTTCTGAACATCAATGCATCCTTCACATGACGACTACCTTGCCGCAGTTCGCATCTGCATCCTTAGTCGATTTGGAAGTGACCAATATCCTTTCGACGACCTCATGAATCAGCCCAAAGTTCAGGTGATAAGTGCCGACGATGAGATCCGTCACGTCCCCGATATGTCTTTGCGCGTCTTTCTCTGACCGAAACTCGGACACTTCAGGCGTCAGTTGAATAGCCATTCGAGTCAAGCAGCCTTGGACAAAGTTGCTCGAGCTACTGGCACCTGCATTAACTCCGCGATAATACTCGAAAGTCGAGCAGGTACTCCATCCTCTTTCTCGCAGCCGCACGAACACTGAGCCATCAATTTCCACGTAACTGGTCCACACAAACACCACGCGGTCTTTGTCGATATGTCGTCGGAAAGCTGAGCGCTTTGTGACATTAATTTGATGCGTCTTTGGGAGCTGCAGCGTCTCGTGAACGATGAGATTGGAGTGATTTTGGGTGATAATTTGCGCTTCAGTCCGCTTGACGATCGAGCCATTGTGCAGACAATTCCAGATCGCGAGGTGAAATGCCTCCATCGAGAACGGCAGTAGCCGAGCCTCCTCGTGTCGAAATGTGATGCCATTGGCTTCACGTTTGAACTTGAAGCCGCCACTAAGCTGGTGCAGCACGTTCGCTAGTCCACTAGTCGTCAGCTCCGTGTTCACCTCTGCGAATTGCTTGTCCACACAGCTGTTAAGTTGCGCAAATATCTCTTTGTCTGTCTCATTCATCGCGCGTCCGATGCCACTGATTGTCGACCCTCCAGTCTCTTTCTGGTGCTGAGCGATCGCAGCTTCCAGCACACGCGCCACTTGCAACTGGCCGAGCAATCGATTGCGAAGCTTGCGGTTCTCGGCAATGGAGCTGTCTACCTCGCGCTTCTGGCGCTCTGCGACCTCCTTCCAGCTCGAGACACCCGTGTTAGCGTCAATTGAAGCCAGAGCGGCTTCCTGACCGACAACATTCGGAGAGCCAACCGCGGCTATTCCCAGAGTCTCCAGCTCTTCCTGTAGCTCGACCACTTTTCCTCGCAAATACTCGAGTTCGTGCTTCGGACGTCTGCGGTCGCGACGCTTACACGTCGAATATGGCCTCAATCGTCGGTCAGTTTTCTTCGGAGACGACGGCAGCTCTTCATGTGATGCCACCACACTTTTAACCGCATTTGGAGGCCCAGACTCTACCGTGTCCGAAGAGAGCAGTTCCTGGATCTCAAGAGACAGAAGCATCGAGTCCATGGCCTCGTCGGTTGTCCCTGCTTCGATCGGGGAGCACGAAGACTGAGCCGGGGCCGCCACGTCCTCTGAAAAGTAGCCGAGTGCTTCCATGAGGTCGTCGTCGGCGTGCTGGGTGATCGGAACTTGCATGGTGCTAACAGGCAAACTGCTGAAATTGGCAAATGAAACCGGTTTTTTTTTTAATGCCATCCTGGAGGATTGTGCGATCACTTTGGAGGAAGGCATGGTAGAGCACGCCGTCAAGTTCACTTGCATGGGACACGAGCAGATGTTCGGGGGCTGCAAATCGCAGGAAGCCGCCTTCTGTCTGCCCTCATTCTATGGGCCTTACTTCGTCAAAGTACATGCAACTTCGAAGTAGGTGACGACTTCTTCTTAAATAGAAGCGAAAATATTATTTGCTCATATTTAAGTACATGATTTCCCCGCAAAATTACTACTATTAAAAGAAATACTTAAGAAATACTAATATTACTACCGAGCTGCATAATCTTCATTCTACCAACGAAAACTCTACTGCCCAGGTTGTTTTTACATAGCCGTGCGACAAATGACCCCAGGTAATCAGTAATATATTGACCAGAATGTAAATAAAAAGTAAATTACAAGGATGTGCAAATATTCCCCTTATCCTGTCAAATCTTAAGATTTTGAACGAGGGTGTGCGGTGCAACGGTCTCCTGGCCTCTCATTTCTCAATTCGCGCCGAAAGCCCACAATGAAACGGAGACTGTGTAATGTGGAAGACGACGACTCCGACGAAGACGACGAAGCTGTGCCAACGTTCGGTGAAAAAGAAGATAGTTCAGGCGACGACGATGAAGACACGGACCGGACACAGCTAGCCCAGGACACGCAGTTAGCTCAGGAGGGCAGCGAAGACTCACTCGACGATCTCTTACTCCAGGAAGATTCATTTGAAGGGAAGGAGCTGAAGCGGCTCCACGCCAGTTGGGACGTCTGGGGGAGGTATCGCGCTAATTACTGCGAGGAGGAGAACGCACATCTAGTCGCTCAAGAAGCAGAGAGTGTGTCGAAGCGCAACAAGCAGCTGCGTGAGTCCGAACGTGCGAAGAGTGGCCGGGGCGTCCGCTACTTATCTGACGACTTACCACGGTGGCGACGCAGGTATATTTGCACCCATGGAGCGAAACATCGGCGCCGTGGTATGGGAAAACGGCAGCAGTACCGACTTCGTGGTACTGGCTATCCGTTTCGATTCACAGTCGAGAGTATTTTCGAAAAGAGCAAGTGGATTGTAGAGGTGAAGAACCCTATATATACGCACAACCACGCGCTATCCGAAGTGGTGTACGAAAACAATCCACATAATCGGCAGATGCCGATGTGTGAGCCTATTGTTAAAGACCTCCGGCTGATGGTTCGAGCAGGCGGTAAAAATTTGCGCCTTTTCGAGTGCATTCGTGACTATTCAAGCTACAAGGTGACGCGCAAAGACGTGGCTAGCCTCCTGGTCAAGATTTGCAATGAAATGCGTGGAGAAGCAGACGACGATTTGGCTGTTGCAGAGTTTCTTATGGAGCTTGGTGAAGAGGACAAAGACAATGTGGTTAGTGTGGACGATACATCTTCTGGAGAGACCGGTGCTATTTCGCTGACTACGGGACGTATGCGAGCCACGTTCGCCAGGTTTCCTGAGCTTTTGTTGGTTGACGTAAGTTTTTTTTAGGGAATTGGCCAGGTTTCATTCCAGGTTTATGCCGGGTTAGTAACCAGGCTTTCACATAGGTGATTTGCCAGGTTGACTATCAGTTATAAACCAGGTTTTAACCCTTACTATCCCGGTTCACGTTTGTACCATGTCATGAATCTGCCGTAACTTTCGTTGAACGA